AAGCATCAGGACAGTGGAAAACTGTCTGTCACTGCCTAGCAATGTGATCAAGCAAGAATTACTTTCATTCACAACACAGAACAGAGAGAAAGTGAGGGGAGTGGGGGGGGGGGATCCACCCATGTGGTTAAGAAGCCTTCATCCAGTTATGTATTTTGAGAAAACTTTCTTAAGTAAAATTGTTATGTATTTTGAGAAAACTTTCTTAAATAAGTAAAATCATTCAATGAATTCCCTCCTTCTGAATAACTAACTTGTTGCATTTCACTTATTTCCTTCCTATTAAACAGGATAATGGCCATACAAGTCCTGTATGGACCACATTTGGAATCTGTGGCGGAATCAGTTAGTGTAGGTATAAAACAAGCACCAGGAGAGCTGAAGATTGTAGTGAATAAGGTCTAAGAGGATGTATACAGAAAAGCAATTTAGCAACCACTCTTTTGAATAGGACTAGACCTCAGCCAGAACTTTTAAGAGTTACTCTAATACAAATAAAATACAGGGAAAGTGGTGATACGAGTGTAAGCAAGAGGAAACTAAAGAGGAGTAGGTAAAAATAAAGATCAGGCTATAAACATTATAGTAAGCATGAGAACAGTAACAGACAACAGGACTAATCTTTAAAAAACACCCCTCCTTTTAAAAGCCATACAAAATATCACTTGTAACTGAAAAAAAAAGTTGTTTTAAAAACAGTGCATCTTATCTAACTGCATAGACAACTGAGGAAGAAGCAACTACTTCAGGACACTTTTATACAGTTTTCTATTATGCAAAGCACAATGGAGCACATGTCCCCCAGATTCAAATTCACTTTTTGTTTCCTGTTCTAACAGGCCAAAATGTTCATTAATTAATGAAGCTATAGGTATTTCCGTCAAACTTGGAGACAATCAGTTGCACGAGCAAATATGATTCCTGCACATGGCCTGAGAAACAGAATCACTATCATTTACAGAAAATTTACATGAATCTTCTCATAAGTTAAGGGTTAACACATTATTCAAGTTCATACCACTACTGTACCTCTTCAGCACCATCTGACACAGAAGAGAATCTATATTATATTTTTAAAATTCAAAGCTGTTTGTGCTAGCACTCAGAATTACCACATTAGTGCGGAGAAGGCATTTTTGCATACCTTTGCTTTCCTTTCTCATCCATATTTTGATCCTGTATAAGGTCTCGACGTGTTCGCTCTTTGGAGGTAGCAACAACAGAGGATGGCAACGCTGGCTACAAGGGAAAACAAGCTCCTTGTTAACCTTCCAGTTAAGAGTCCCTCTTCCTGCATAACTCACCTTTGTCATGTGTTACCTTTTTAACATCATCATCCTCTGCGTCGCTTTCATGGCGTGATTCTCTTCTTGTCCGACGTTCTCCACCCAGCCTGAAAAAGTAAAAGTAGCTTTACTGGCCATCAAAAAAACAAGATAGCAACTGTTCTAATGCAGGAAAAATATTAATCAGCATATCTACTCAGAAGGACTAACATCTCCAACAAAATCTCCCCGTTACTCTGAAGGTAAATGCATGACCGATACAGTTTTTTTTTTCTTTTAAGCACAGAAGCTACTCCTAGTAAAAATCAGCGTGGCAAGTGAGAGAATGCATGACCAAGTAAAGCAGAACACTCTCTTGGTATCATATTTAAAGTCTTAGAACATCTTTGCATTTTGTTCATTGATTTTAACATTTGCCTCTTTTTCAGAATCTCAAAAATGGTTATACCTTTAACAGCAAACTGGAATACCTTAAATACATAAAGATTTGTAAATCAATACGGTTTTTCATATTACCTATCTAAATTACCTGAGTGGCTACAAAACAAGTTAGAGAGGGATCAGAGCACTTGAAGGAATCAGGGTTCCAACAAACAGCTAGATAACAAGTTAAATATAGCTTATTTTCAGCTCTCAATCTCTCAGTTCTCAGCTTTGTGGCACAGCACTTAACTACCAGCAATGCCAATTTCGCAGGATGCATGTGAAAGCCAGCCCCGCTTCCCTCCAGAAGGGCACAGGAGCATGTAATTGTTCTGGGAACAGATTTCACTATAACCAGATCCACAGCTGATGAATCTGCATTGAAATGCAAAAGCTTGAAATCTAACTCTGTTGTCACATTCTGTGCATTCAGTTTATTGAAAGGGAGGTCTCAGCTATACTTTATCTACTCAGGCCTGTTGTACAACAAGTCTGGCTACTAGGCACGATATGATGCTGTAGACTATACACCAAATAAAACAAAAAAATGCAAGGATCTTTATCAGATTTTTAAAATTTGGTGACTGATTCTATAAATGTATTCAGAAAATCCTTTTGACTACTACAGTTTGCAATAAAGATCTGGCAGGTGCAAGCAGAGTTATCTGCAAGACCAACAAGAGCTTTTTTTTTTTTTTTTTAAAAATCAAAAATGCACAGCTTTGTTTCCCCAGAGATTTCCTGCTTCAAGTGATACAAAAGACAGCATGATCTCTTAAGTACACCACAGAAACGAGTTTAATATTTATTCCACCTCATTCTAGTATTTTATACATATTCTAACTGCATACAGCAGCATACAAAAAAAATACACTGCTATAAACTACGGAAAAAAAACCCAACCATAGTCAAAAGCTGCCACTCAAAAGTATTTCCAGCAAGCCTTGAACGTGTGAACTCTAAAGACAGTTATCACAGACATTAGTAATTAACAATAATTGAATCTAAATACTTTAAAATTACAAACTTTTATTCTGACAGAGCAAGTTCTTTCCATCACTGTTTGCACCCACCTATTGGTTGCACCTTCAAGATCCCTCTGCTTGGCTGGGGGTCCTCCTCCACTATCCGAGAATCCACGCCTACAAAGAAACCACTTGTGATCTCAGAACATCTCAGGCTAATCCCAAGGCACAGGTCCACCTTAAGCCTACACAATCAAACTGTCTTTTTGCCTTTGTGGCAATGATACAACATTGATTGTTACTTGAAAATATCACCATTTTCCTGTTATTATAACAATACAGCAGGCACGCATGCTGTTTATATGCCTACTTATTTAAACCTGAGCTTTTGTCCCTGTTTGAATGAGCAGCTGCTGTCAAAGAAGCTGTCCCATCAGGTTCAAATGTTGATATTAAAAAAAAAAAAAGTGCATTAAGTCCTAACCAACAAATTAATATTGCAATTAGGCAAACATTCACTCAAAAAGAATTAGAATACAACTACCTTTTTTACTCTACTGGAGGAGAACAGAGATGAGACCACAACAACACACTAGCTCTTTACTTATATTTGTTTGACATAGTGACAAGTTTCTGGTTACAGTAAAAATTGTTTAAAACTCCTGCCAACTTCAAACCTTTCTGTTCCACCGGAAACACCCAATACCTTCTCAATGTCCATGAGATCTGAGTTTGAACCAATACAAAGAAATAAGGTCCCTGAGATCACTGCCTCCTCTCCCTCCCCCCACCCCAACTTCCAGTCCCATTACAGAAAACTTTAGGGCAAACTACCAATTTATCACAGTGTCCTATAACTTTGAATGAGAAGAAGCTTCAAATTAGGCTGTGACATAACCCCCACTGCCCTCCCAGGCTGCCCGTTGCCTCCGTACAGCACAAGGGCCCTGGGTGGCTTGCAGCAGCAAGGCGACCGAGAAGCGGAACGCGGGTGACCGACCCCGAGCGCAGCGCCGCGGCTCCTTACCTTAGCAATAAGCTCCCGCGCCCTCTACCTCCACCAGGGCCTGAGAGGGCGAGCAGTCTGCTCTGAGGGGGCCTGCGGAGAGAGCGCGAGCCCTTAGCCAAGAGCCA